CTATGGTGAAAAGAAAACTGAGAAGGACGAAGCTGGTGAATGGCTTCATCATGGAGAGCCAACAAAAGTATTGTTAGACAAAACAACTGATTGTCATTTACGCTCTAATGCTTATTCAGCATAGTTAATCCTCTCTAGAGGATCATGTAGGGGCTAAAGGGTGCAGGTTATACTGTAATCCGTTTTTTTCTGGCTATTCTTCAAGTCAGATATATTCCTACATATATTCCTCTAGCATTCTCAGGAGATATTTTTTATCAACTATCTAAAAAGGAATATCTTATCCACCCACATTTTACTCACCATTTCCTAAAAACAATGGAATACTAATTGGCATTTTATGGGACTATATACATAAATGTTTTCAGATTAAATACAATATTCTTAGTTTGCATTCAGTACAAACTAGGTATTCAGTATTTACCCAATTCTAATAGCTCAGCCAATATATGAGAAGTCAGAAATGTTCCTGTCCATTTTCTACTAAATGTAAAGCTATTGTGACAAAATCAGCTGTTGAATTCATCATCTATTTTACTACTTTATTGTAGACCGAGTATTAAGCTCACATATATTCCACTCTAGTAAGAATGAGCATTCCAGTTGTAAGCCACGTATCCAAGATCAAATTATGGGAGAGGTTGTAAGACGCATCGATCAACTATAGGATTCCTCAGTTAATTCAAGCCAAACCTTAATACAACTTTTAAGATCAGTTGCAATATACAAAAGTTTCTCTTAAAGCCAGTTAAAGCTCAGGAGGAGACAAAACAGGGATTTTGCCCTCCCCACCCCCACTTTTCAGTTTTTGTATCGATGATGTGCTGTGATGTCTAAACCAGGGCTTTCCAATCTTTTCACAGATTGTACCACTTTTAGGACATGACAATATTTGAATACCACCAGTGCTTAGCAAGTGTCAAAAACTTGATGATTTAAAAAAAGGGGAGAATTTGGGATTTTACTGGGTAGATTCATTGGTTGTTATAGAAATGGCTAGTTTATAATATTATGGAAAAGTAAAAAGTTGAGGTTCAATGTTAATGCTTCCTTGTACTGTAACAGAGGAAGTTGGAAATCAAAACCTTTTTTCTTTTTCCCTTTTCCCTCCCCATTGTGTCCTACTATTTGCTTTTGTATTTTATTTTTTGTATTTTATTCTATAATCTAATAAAATAAAACTAAAAAAAAGGACAAAAAGTACCGGTTTTAATTTCTTCTGTGGCAGTTCCATTGCGGAATCACTTTCCCTTTATACTGACAAATGTATGATGAATTTCTCTATATTTATTAATATGCACCACTACCTTGATGGTCAGGTGGCTGGTCGGCCCTTCTTCTTCTCTCCCTCTCCTCTCTTTCTCACCCTCTCAAAAGCCCCCCCCCATTCTCTCTTTCTCTCTCACACACACACATCCCTCCCCAAAAGCCTTTCCTCTTCTCTGCTTCTCTTACATACAGTTCCCCCCAAAAGCCTTTCCTCTCTGCCTCTCTCTCACACACACACACCTCCCCAAAAGTCTTTCCTGTCTCTCTCTCACATTGCTTCTCTGACAAAAGCCCTTTCTCTTCTGACTTTCTCTGGCGTCTTTTTTTTTCCCTCTCCCGCCAAAACTGCCTCCTTTTATATTCTTTTCTGTCTCCGCCCTCCTCCTCCTTTCTCTTCTGGGTGTGCCGGAAGTGCCGATCATGGTGCCTTTGTCTCACCCCAGCAGCCCTGCAGCTCCTGAGGACTCTCTCTCAGGGCAAGTCCTGCATCGTGCTGCTTTGGCTCGTTTCCTCCCCCGCTACACTTGGCTAGGCTACGCAGGGATGCGTACCACCTGCCATGTGCCAATGTACCACAGGTGGTATGCGTATCACTGGTTGAAAAGCCCTGGTCTAAACAACCCAAATTTCCATCCCCGTAAACTAGAGGAATCACAGCATAGCTCTGCTGCTCATCATAGACAACACTGTAGTTCTTTCCAGGATCCTAATTGGCCTTAAATGAGATCTGAGAACTTTGGTCCAATACTGCAACACTAATAATCTGGAAATAAACTATCATAAAACCAAGATTATGACTTTTGTCAAAAGGTTGAAACTCTGTTTATGGAGCATTAATGACCACAAAATAGAACAAGTGACTAGCTTTTAAGTATTTAAGAATAGACCTGCATGCCACTGGCTCAAGGAAAACCTACTGTGAATGAGTCAAAACCTACTGCTACTGGTCAAAGATCCATCAATGCCATTCTTAATTTTTTCCAATCCAAGAAAGGACATTATGTTCTAGCGGTACTTAAGCTCTTTCAGCTAAGCTGTCAGTCCAGCTCTTTTATGGACTCTGGTTGCCCCCCCCCCCCCAGCCTTGTGTTTCAACTCTCTGGAGACAGTACTATCCAAATTCATCAGAGCAGCTCTTCAGATTCCATGCTGTATATTGAACGATTGGAAACAGGTATGAGTCAAGAGTGTGCCTAGCTTCTATAAATCTTTGGTTAAAGCTCAACTTTTATCTTCAAGGCTTAACACCATTAATTCTTCAGGACAATTTCCAGTCCACATGGATCAAGGCTGTTGAATCTAATCTTTTAAATCTAGGCTGCTCTCCCTCCTCAAGAACTGAGGAGGCAGTCTAGCCTACATTTAAAAGATTAGGTGAAATCTAATGGGATATGATCAAGTGAAATCCTGAAGCAAAAGTTAAAGGATACAGAGAGACAAGTGAATCTAGGGAAGACCCCAGCTTTCCTGTGACCAGGTATACATATATTGTCACTGCTGCCAGCTACCTTACCCAGCTAGAAGCACCCAGCAGTTGGAAAGCTTTCTATCTTGCCCGATGCCAGGCTTTTCCCTCTGCAATATTGATAAAAAGTGCCGTTAGCTGAAACACTCTGCCTCTATGATTCCAGAGAGGTGGAAACTACGGAACATGTTCTATTTCACTGCTCCTTTTATGGAGACATGTGAACCAGATTCATCCTACCTCTGATTAGTAGATGTCCTGGTTGCTCAGATTCAGTTTATGCCCAGATGCTGCTCATAACTGAAGTATCCCTTGTTTCAGTAAATTTCAAATCTGTTGCTTTCTAGAATTTTAGCATCCGAGACCGCCTTCTGCCACAGATTCCCTCCCACAGACCGGTACGCTCCCACAGAGCGGGCCTCCTCAGGGTGCCGTCAA